GTGGGGGTTATGTTTCTCCAACACACAGTACTTCGAAGAGGTTAGGTTAGTTTGTTATGCTGCGGTACTAGTGTGTTATTTAAAGCACCATTATTTTCTACATTTGAAGTTAAAGTTTTTAGTATTGTTGATTTAATAAACATATTCCAAGATAATTTTTAATACCAGCTGAAGAGTGTGCGTGAACATTTTATTTTATTTTTTTTTCCCTTGGTAAACACCCTATTGTGGAACTGAAATAATTACCAGATACTCAGACAACAAAGTATAATCATGCTCAGCGCTATAGCATTTAGATAGCACAGTCTGTTTATTCCGTAACATAATTATTTTTGATTAAAATAGAAAAGCAAAACTTCAGCTTTTATATGATAAGAGAAAGGATGATAAACTGTATTCCTTCCCTGCTCCTCTTAGCTCTTCTTTCTCTCCAAAACCACTTAATAAATTTTATTAACTCCTGCAGTGGCCTTTTTATACAATATAAAAAGGAAAAAAAAAAAAAAGAGAGGATAAAGATTTAAGAGTAGATTTTATCCAGCTTTTGTTTAGCTGTTGCAGGCTTGATGGCTGTGCGTTCTGCATCTTCTTTCCAGACCGGTTGTGCTTATTTATGGGGCAAAAACCAAAAACCACAAACTCTTGTGTCAGGGTGATTCTTTCATTTAGTTGTTAGGATTCTGTCTTTCTGCTCATGCTGTAATGTAACAACAGATAATGAGCTAGTAGGGGTGTGAACATCAGCCTGTTTCAATGTTTGAGTCGCATATATAAGGCTCAGTCTGGCTGTTCAAATTTTTAAGGTTTTCTCCAGTGACACATCGTTCCTTACTCTCCCAGGCTGTTAAGTGCTCTGCCCACAGATGAAAAATAGGTAGTTTGGAATTAAACTTTTCCTGTTATTCCTATTAGACCCCACTACCTATTTAGTTTGTCTTTTTCTGATCTTATATTTTCAGGCAATCCAGGAGCTGGCAGGAGGGGAATGAACCGTGAGGGCGTCCCCGGAAAGAGTCCGGAGGAGATGTATATTCAGCAGAAAGTGAGAGTCCTACTCATGCTGAGGAAGATGGGATCAAATGTAAGTTGCACTGTCACAGCCCTTATTTTGTGGCTTCCCAGACAGTTTTGTAGTAACTGGGATAGTGCTTACCGAGATGGGCAGGCAGTCACTTCATTATTGTAACCATCATTGATTTAACCATTATCTGCAGTTAAACACAACTGGTTTTTGTTTAAGTATTGTGAGACTTGTGATGCCTGAAACTAAATCCGAGCATCTGATCATTTCTCTGTATACACTAAAGTTTTTCATTATTGGAAAACCAGCAGCATAAGGCAACTCTTTTAAGGTGACTTTGAGTCTCCAGAACCAGTTTGCTGCCATGGTCCTTGCCAATAGTATAGTTTTCACAAATAACAGTTGACTGTACTGTTGTGGAGTAGAAGAGAGGCGACTGATCTTTCTTGCTGGGAAGTAGGAGATATTATCTTCAGTCTTTCTTCATTTTCCTTTTTGCTGACTGACTCTTCGTACCTTTCCAGCTGACTGCTAGTGAAGAGGAGTTCTTGCGCACATATGCAGGGGTAGTGAATAGCCAACTTAGCCAACTTCCTCAACACTCGATTGATCAGGGTGAGTACTGCATTTGTTTGCCTTGTGTTTGTTTAATCGGTGAGAACAGTCTCAGAAAATACCAAATTTAGGTTCTTGTATTTCTGTGGTAATATGCCACCTGCTTAAACCCATCCTGCAGTCTGGGATAGGCAAGTCCTTGCCTGCTGTAATCTTTGGAAGAGAACTAGAGCGTACTGTTCAGTTTTATTTTAACAGGTAAAGTCAGTCTTGGCTATACCTAAGATTCGTTAGGATGAAGAGCATTGTTAAACATCTTACTCTCCGTGGTGACTCAAAGCATTGATGGCCAAAGTCCTGTGAACTGAATGCATGTATATAGCTTCCTACTCTCTGTAAGACATCAAATAGAAATAAATTTTAACTAACCTGATTGATTTTTTTCTATAGGTGAAGTTAAATTCATGTGTGCATAGGTTACTCTAGTTCCAAATGTGTCCTACCATATTCAGTGTGGATCCTCTGCATAAGACAACTTTCATCTAAATTTTTATATTTATTGTTAAACTGGACATCTGTGCGTAATAAGGAGTAAAAGTAGAGGTGGCAGGACCTTCCTTTGTGTGGTTCAAACTGGGAGATTTATAACAAAATGCAAAGTAGGTACAGATTTCTCAGGTACAAAAGCAATTTGTTATGCTTATGATAATTTAGTTGCTATGACTCTAGTTCCTTGATAACACTTTTCTCACATAAAAAAATGGAATCATCTAACAACACCTTTTGTTTTTCATGTTTCCATGAATGTGGAAGTAAAGTGCAATGTTACTATTTCAGCAGAGTAATAGAGAAAATTTAGCAACAGGAGGAATTTGTTTCCCGTTGCATTTCTTTAATTACAACGTAATTAATTCCCGGACAGGGGTAGCAGATGTGAAATAAGTTTACAAATCTCCTTTGGTTTGTTTAGATTCCCATTAAGGGGATGAAGTCTGTGCTGCTTTGTGCATTCTTTGCAGAATTCTGAGTAAACAGTGGTGTGGCACTACTCTGAATCTACTAATCTCTTCTGAACCTGAATGTTTCTTTCTGAAATTTTTTTTTCTCCCCTTCACAGGCCTCATGCCAGATCACATTCATAATGTAGAATTTGGTACTGAAGGAGAATCTTAAGGCTTGTATGCCAGAAAGAACTGAGTTGAGCAGAAATTGAATACATATTTAGGAAACCATTAGAAACACAACCTGCACAAACTTGCTGTTCAGTTTTAAGCCTGTGTTCATTCCTCACATAGCTGGGGGATTGATGGAGATAGATATACTTGTCTATTTTGGCTTAGAATTCTTAAATTTTTCTGCCTGACTAAAGTGAAAATTTGCTGGTTTCTCGTCAAAAACTGAGGCAGACATACTTGGTTAAGAAAGACTGTCTTGTTTGCAGTTGGCATTTTTCAGCATTATCCCTAAAGTAGTTACATTTCTCACATTGAAAATATATGCTGAATTACCTGCACTTTGGCAAAGAAGAGATAATAAAAACCTAAGTCCAGCCAGTGGACGTAGGTACTTTGTGCAGCTGTGCTCCTGCACAGCTTGATCTAACTTGCTTGTCTAAACTGACGGGTTTGATTGTCTGTAAAGTTACATTTTTTCACTTTGCAGGGGACTCTGGAGACTCAAAAAATTGCATTTTGACATAACTTTAAAAAAAGGAAGACCAACAGTTACTTAGTCTGCTTCTAGATTCACTAATCATGAAATACAGGAAATGTAAGAGCTTCGTATGTTGTTCAAAAAGTTGTCTTTGTCCCGTGTTTGAACAGATGCTAACTGGTTTCTCTGTCATAATTTTCTTAAAGTCCTTGAAGATTCTTAAAACTTTGTCCTTAGGGAAGTGAAGTCCTCCCTGTTGATGCTTGCTTTGATCTAATCTGAGACACTGCCGTCTTTCCTGGGAGAGGTGACCCCACAGTCTACCTTCAGTCATCCCAAATTATTATTCAGCCGGGGGTCTGACCGTTAAGGTTTTCCTTGGTAAGGGAAAAAAGAAGAAAGAAAGAAAATAGTTAAATATTTAGAGACGTGGGAAAGGATGTGGATTCTTTCCCTGCTCAGGTCTGCCACCTCTCCAAATTGAGAAGCGAATAGCGTGGAGAACAAATGGAAGTGAGGAAACCTGGTAAATCCTTTGGCCGGGAGCGGAGCCGTGGGTGCTGTACGGCCGTCAGCAGCTGGAACGCGCGGCGCAGGGCTCTGATTTCCTTCGAAATCTCTCCGGATTGGTAACGGGGCCGCTGCC